CCCCAAAACCCCAAAACCCCAAAACCCCAAAACCCCAATCTTGATGTGATCAATTGAAATAGTAAATTCAGATTAAATTTGAGTAGATAGTTAGTTAAGTTCGAAATCAAATACTGGGTATTCAAATCTTGAGATCCACTTTTCTTCCAGTTTCTGGACAAGTTCATCAACTTCTTTTGAAACATTATCAACTTCAATATCTTCAAAGGTAGGCATGATCTTTTTAAGGCTTGAAAGGATATCTTTTCTAAACACTCTCGATCCAGCTTGGTGAAGGACCATGATGTTGTAATCTGTTCCCTTAGGGTTAATGAGATGTACTTTATCCTCAATTGGGGATTCTACCATGACTGGTTCTTTCTTCTTATCCTCTCCTTCCTCTTGGTCTTCACTCTTGTCATCAGAGTCTTCATCAGAGCCCTCTTCTTTCTTCTCTACCATTGGAATTTTGATCCTGACGATTGCTTTACAATTATCAAGATCCTCAGTTCCTTCCTCTGGGACAGTGGCTACTTTAATCTTTTTAAGGAATTGGTCTTGTTTTGTCTCAGAGCCACCCTTAGCCTTTGGCTTCCTAGTGATAATGTCAGCAAGGACATCATGAATCATGCCAAAGACTTCTTGGTTGATTCCAATCTCTTCAGCAATAGAGAACAGATATCTGAATTCAGCATTCAACATACCATTTGTTCTGTCTTTCATTAACTCTCTGAATGCTTTTGCCTTTGGGCCAGTGAGTTTTGTAATATCATCCATTGTCTGATCTGTCTCTTGCATAAAAGCTTCAATGTGTTTTCCCATAAGAACAGTGAATTGTTCTGACTTCATATGTGAGATTGCATAAAAGATTAAGAACTGAGCTACATTTTTCTTTGAATAAAACTCTTCATACTCGTCTTCACTTTGAGTATCCTTCAGGACAGATAAAACTAGTGCAATTTGAGCGAATGGTCCTCCGATAGCTCCAATAATACTCTTGCTGATCAAATCAGCACATGGTGTAGATAATTCTTGTGCTACAATTCCTTCAACAGGCTCTCCAGAGGTGACAAACCTCTCTTTGATATCTTCTTTAAGCTTTCTGAGTTCCTCCTCTTTTCTTCTTCTTTCTCTCTCGAGTCTTCTCTGCTCTTTCTCATCTAGTCTTTGTTTCTCTGCCTCTTCAGCTAGAATTCTTTCATCTTCAAGTCTCTTGTGTTCCTTTTCGATCATTGATCTGTGCCCTTGCATTTCAATAGACATAAAGTCGATCAGGACCTTGTCGTTGTTGGCTTCATGAAGCTCATCATCGATCATGAATTCATTCACTTTCTCATAGAGCCATGGGACCACATTCTCTTGCAATTGAGAGTTGAAGGAGTCTATCATAGCTCCTCTTTCCTTCAGAGAGACTATGGCATGGGAAGTCAGAGGAGCAAAGAATTTCTTAGCTAACTGTCTGCATGTGAACTTCTTGTGAGCAGCAATTTTTTCTAACTTCTTAACCTTATGTTGTTGCTTTCTTCTTTCAATCTCTTGTTTCTTTCTGAGTTCAATGGCTTCTAGCTTTTGAGCTTCTGCAATCTCATCTTCTCTCAGTTTTTGGAAGTGCTTTTGCTCTTCACGCATGTATTTGAGTTCTTCTTCCTCGAGGACTTCCATTTTAGCATGCTCAAGAGTTTTGCCACATAAAACTTGGAGAATGGGCTCAACATCATCATCAAAAATGAAGAGGTCTCCATCTTCGGTCTGTCCACAAAAGTCCTCTCCATTCTTCTCTGGGATGGAGAAATCTAAAACTCTTTGTTCAAGTTTGAACTCAGTTTGGCTCCCGATATCATAACAAGGGGCTTTGTCAGTAAGCTCTTCGACGAATTGGTCGGTTTGGACATCAAGATTTTGTCTTCCTGAGATAGGCTCTGGAGTTGGAATCTCTCTTCTAGTGTACTGTTCAGCATTCTCCTGTTGTCTAAGCTTAGCCAGTCTTTGTCTCTCTCTTCTCTCTTGCATATTCATATCCTCTGGTTTTGAATGGAAGGAGATAACTTTGGCTCCTTGAGAAGTTCCTCTGTAGACTCTTTTATCATACATGATATTTTGAGGAATATAGTTGTCATCCTTTCCGTAAGGATCCTTATACTTATACTTTGGCTTTGATGAAACAACCTTGGGAACGGCAGAGAAATTAGAGTTATAGTCCTGTGTCTGCATAATATTCTTATATTTATTTAAATAAATTTTATGATTAAATCTATTTAAACTGGGGTTTTGGGGTTTTGGGGTTTTGGGGTTTTGGGGTTTTGGGG